GTGCAGGTGGCACTTGGGGACAGGGCTCAGTGGTGGCTCTGTCAGCGCTGGGGAACAGCCGGAGCCGCTGACCTTGGCGAGCTCTTCCAGCCTTAACAATTGCACAGTTCCACACCTCTGACACCACGGCCGGGGCTCGGGGAGCGGGGCCGGGGCTCGGGGAGCGGGGCCGGGGCTCGGGGAGCGGGGCCGGGGCTCGGGGAGCGGGGCCGGGGCTCGGGGAGCGGGGCCGGGCCCCGGGAGTGACCCCGCTCCCCCCGCCCAGTTCCTGCACACGGGCTCGCCGCTGCGGGAGGAGATCACGGCCGAGGTGTACGAGGACGAGCTGGACATGCGGCACTCGGGCTCCTGCATGAACAGCAGCATCGCGTCCGCCTGGAGCGAGCGCAGTCTCGACCCCGATGACATTCGGGTGGGTGGCACACTCAGGACCTTCTTTTGACGCTAGCTGTGCAGAGTAAGAGGTGCCTGTCGCAATCTTTTCCTGGCGCGAAGCAGAGGGGAGGGGACGAGGGGCGCAGGGTGACGGCAGCGGGGTGGGCGATCCCCGCCGGGCCGGACGGGAACGGGCAGCGCGGGGGGCTCGGGGGTGCGGGGACAATCCGGGCCGGGCGGGGCCGTGCCGGCCGCAGCCCCCGCTCTACGCGCCCTCCTCTCTCCTTTTCTCTGCCGCGTCCCCCCCGCCCGCGGCGCAGGAGGAGCTGAAGAAGCTTTACCGGCAGCTGGAGGTGCACAAGGCGTGGCGGATGGCGACCGACAACCCGCACCTGCCCCGGAGGCGCAGCTCCCGCCGCAGCCTCGCCCGCTCCATCCTCCGCCGCGGCGGCGCCGACCTGGCCGAGGCCGCGTCCCTCCGCAGCAGCGCCGGGGACCGCCCGGGGACCCCGKCCCGGCGCCGCTCCTCGGCCCGGCGCCTCGGGGATGCGGGCGGGACCAGCCTGAGGATGCGGGACGAGAGCTCCCGGCGCCGCTCCTCAGCCCTGCGCAAATCCCGCAGCTCCGAGGCGCCGCCGCGGGACCCCCGGCTCGGCTCGGCCGCCCCCAGCCCGCCCGAGGAGCCTCCGCCGGTGACAGCGCTGGGRACGGACTCGGAGCGATCGGACAGCGACTCTCTGGACGCCGCGCCGCTGGTGTGCAAATCTGCCAGCGCCCAAAACCTGGCGGGGCCCTGGCAGCGYCCCCCGGGCCGCGCTCCGCCCCTGCAGAAATCCCACAGCGTTGTCACCGGGGCGCGGGAAGTGGCGCTGCTGGCCGCCCGCAGGGACGAGTGGCGCGACAGCCGCCACCTCTGGGTGCCGGAGCGCCCCTCGGGCACCGCGACAGCCCGGGACTCCCGAGAGGACGCGTCCCCGCCGGGTGACAGCAAGGGACACAAACACGTCACCTACGCGCCCCTCAAGAGCGTCAGCGTTGACAGCGCGCACCCCGCGCCCAGGAGGGTCCGGGTGACCGTGAGGAAAACGCCCCCCGCGCCCCCCGTGCGCTACCAGAGCCTGCAGCGCTCGGGGACACTCGGGGACGGTCCGGAGCCACCCCCGGAGCCACCCCCGGAGCCGCCGAGAGAGGCGGAGGGGACACCGGGGGACAGCCCGGGCCGTGCGGCACCCCCGGCGGGGAAGCGCCCGCCGCTGATCCCGAGCGCCAGCTCAGCCCACGTCTGTCCCTGGGAGCTGGTCCAGGACGAGATCCTGGGCAGGAAACAAAAATCTGCGGAGGCGGCAGAGCCGGAGACCCCCGGGGACACAGCGGCCACCGGCCCCAAAGCGCACCCCCACAAGACTTTCCGCAGCCTGGGACTCGCCATCAAAGCCCTGAACCGCTCCAGGGGGAAGAGCACCCTGAAGGGGAAGCGGGAGAGCGAGGGGAGCCTCAGGAAATGGGGGAGCAGCCGGAGGGACCGGTCCGGCCCGGGAGAGGCCTCGGCCGCGGCCCCCGGAGGGCTCAGCCCGGACCCTGCGGCCCCCGGAGGGCTCAGCCCGGAGCCCGCGGCCCCCGGAGGGCTCAGCCCGGACCCTGCGGCCCCCGGAGGGCTCAGCCCCGACCCCGCCGCCCCCGGAGGGCTCAGCCCGGACCCCGCGGTCCCCGGAGGGCTCAGCCCCGACCCCGCCGCCCGGAGCCCCGAGGGGAGCGGGCAGAGCCCCGAGTCCCCCGCGCTCCAGCACAACAACAACGCTGCCGCTGCCGGGGAGRCCACGGGCTGGGGGGACAGCGGGACAGCGGGACAGACGGACAGCCTGGGCCCGGGGCCGGAGTCACCCAGCGCGGGGCAATGTCCCCGTGACACCGCCGAGGTGGCGCAGCCCCAGGGAGGGGACGCGGCTCCTGCAGCGGCTCTGGGGACGGATGGAGCAGTTCCCGTGGTCACAGCGGAGGAGGGGACACTCGAAGGGCCCGAGGGGACCCGAAGGTCACCCGGAGCGGCCCCGGGGCAGCCGCGGGCTGAGCTGTGCCCGCCCGGAGCGCTCGGAGCCCCGGCAGCGAGGGCAGCGCTGCTGCGGCAGGAGGCGATCGCTGCCCGGGAGGACGGGGGGATCCCGGACAGCCCGGACACGGCCCTGGACAAGGACAGCGGCCCCGAGCCCGAGCGCGGCCCTGGAAGGGGCTGGAGCGGGGCCGGGAGCGCGCCGGGCRGGCAGGGAGAGCTCCGAACTGCGGSAACGGGGGCAGATTCCAGCTCCGAGYCAGGGATCTGCCCCGGGGAGCGGCCCGAGGGCACAGCCGCGGGCAAGGGCGGCCGTGACRGGGGTGCCCAGCGCTCTCCGAGCCTGGAAAAACCCCCAGAGCTGCCCAAAGTGTCCCCGGAGCGAGCGGAGGRGAGCCCGGGGCAGGGCCGAGAGCAGGGACGGAGTGTCCGAGCAGAAATCGGCCCCGGGGACACGGAGGGGAGGGGACCCCCCAAAGCTGGGGAAGGGGAGGAGGGCAGGAAGGGGGAGATCTGCCCGTGGGAAGGGGAGCGGGAGCAGCGCCCCAGAACCCAGATCTGTCCCTGGGAAGGGGCTGCAGCCCCGCCGGGGAGGGAGGGGACGGATCAGGACCCTTCCAGAGGGGAAGGAAAAGCGGGACCCAGAGCACTGGAAAAAGGGGAGCAGCCCCCAGCCAAACCCCAAACGAGGAGCTCAGCCCTGCCCAAAGCACCTTCAGGGAAATCGCAGAGCTCGGAGAAGGCACAGATCTGTCCATGGGAGGTTGAATCTGCTGGCAAAGCCGAGATCTGTCCTTGGGAGGCTCAGGAGCCCAAATCCACTGACAAAACCCAGATCTGTCCTTGGGAAGCGGCTGAACCTCAGCCGGAGAAGGGAAGAGCCCCAAGAAAGGAGAAACTCCCACCAGGAAAAGAATCTCTTCCAGGGAAATCCCAGAGCTCAGAGAAGGCAGAAATCTGTCCCTGGGAGTCTCAGGACCTGAAATCCACTGACAAAGCCGAGATCTGTCCCTGGGAAGGGGCTGAGCCTCCGCTGGAGAAGGGAACAGCCCCAAGAAAGGAGAAACTCCCAGGAAGAGAAGTGACCAAAGCTGTGGAGAAGGGGAGCAAAGACCGAGAGTCCATCTGTCCTTGGGAGAGCCCGGACACGGAACAGCCCCCGGCCAAACCCCAAACTGGGAGCTCAGCCCTGCCCAGAGCAGCTCCGGGAAAATCGCAGAGCTCGGAGAAGGAACAGATCTGTCCCTGGGAGTCTCAGGATCTCAAACCCAGTGATAAAACCGAGATCTGTCCCTGGGAAGGGGCTGAGCCAAAGGCAAAGCCGGTCCCTGCTGGGGGTTCCAAGGGGGACAAGACCCTGATGCGCCAGACAGCGCTGGGCAGCCCGGACAGGGACAGGGACAGCAGGGACAGCAGGGACAGGGACAGCAGGGACCGAGCGTCCATCTGTCCTTGGGAGAGCCCGGACACGGAACAGCCCCCGGTCACACCCCAAACTGGGAGCTCAGCACTGCCCAAAGCACGTTCAGGGAAATCTCAGAGCTTAGAGAAGGCAGAGATCTGTCCTTGGGAAGTTGAATCTGCTGGCAAAGCTGAGATCTGTCCTTGGGAGTCTCAGGATCTCAAATCCACAGACAAAACCCAGATCTGTCCCTGGGAAGAGGCTGAGCCTCAGCTGGAGAAAATAGCCCCAGAAAAGGAGAAACTCCCAGGAAAACAATCTCCTTCAGGGAAATCCCAGAGTACCGAGAGCTTCAAGGCAGAGATCTGTCCTTGGGAAGTTGAACCCGCTGGCAAAGCCGAGATCTGCCCTTGGGAAGGGGCTGAACCTCAGGAGAAGGGAACAGACCCAGGAAAGAAGAAATTCCCAGGAAAAGAATCTCTTCCAGGGAAATCGCAGAGCTCGGAGAAGGCAGAGATCTGTCCCTGGGAGGCTCAGAATCTCAAATCCACTGACAAAGCCGAGATCTGTCCTTGGGAAGTTGAATCTGCTGACAAAACCCAGATCTGTCCCTGGGAAGGGGCTGAACCTCAGCAGGAGAAGGGAAGAGCCCCAGGAAAGGAGAAACTCCCAGGAAAAGAATCTCTTCCAGCGAAATCCCAGAGCTCAGAGAAGGCTGAGATCTGTCCTTGGGAGGTTGAATCTGCTGGCAAAGCCGAGATCTGTCCCTGGGAGTCTCAGGATCTCAAACCCAGTGATAAAACCCAGATCTGTCCCTGGGAAGGGGCTGAACCTCAGCCGGAGAAGGGAACAGCCCCAGGAAAGGAGAAACTCCCACCAAAGGAAGCGACCAAAGCTGTGGAGAAGGGGAGCAAAGACCGAGAGTCCGTCTGTCCTTGGGAGAGCCCGGACACGGAACAGCCCTCGGTCAAACCCCAAAGTGGGAGCTCAGCACTGCCCAGAGCAGCTCCGGGGAAATCCCAGAGCTCAGAGAAGGCAGAGATCTGTCCCTGGGAGGTTGAATCTGCTGACAAAGCCGAGATCTGTCCCTGGGAAGCGGCGGCACCTCAGGTGGAAAAGGGAAGAGCCCCAAGAAAGGAGAAACTCCCAGGAAAAGAATCTCTTTCAGGGAAATGGCAGAGCTCGGAGAAGGCCGAGATCTGTCCCTGGGAGTCCCAGGATCTCAAACCCAGTGATAAAACCCAGATCTGTCCCTGGGAAGTTGAATCTGCTGACAAAGCCGAGATCTGCCCTTGGGAAGGGGCTGAGCCAAAGGCAAAGCCGGTCCCTGCTGGGGGCTCCAAGGGGGACAAACCCCTGATGCGCCAGACAGCGCTGGGCAGCCCGGA